CCTGATCAATAGGGGTCCAAACACTAAAGACATTTACAATCTCACATAGCAAGAAATCTTGAGGAGACAAATTCAGTTTTGGTGCAGCTACTCAATGATGTCACTGGCTTTTTCCTTAACATCATCTGTAGTTCTCAGGCTTGTCTCCTCAGTCAACAGGTGGCTACCTCGTGTCTTTATATAATTGTTCATAGCAGCAGCCAGGGACAGGAGAGTTCTCCTCAGAATCTCTTTGTGTCCCATTCATCCTCCTTTTTATGCTATAATACCAAAATTTTAAATATAGAGACTTTTATACTATATTTACTAGCTGGTAGAGTTGGCTCTCCACTTCGTTGTTGTTCTTTTTCAATATACCCTTGGGTTTTCAGGACTGTTTTTTCTTCTGCGTGAACTCTATAGTTGACTTGTTTAAGCTCCTGAAGAAAACTGAAGGTATTGATTTTATGAGCAGACTCAGGGAGAATCAACATTTTTATGATTTTTGAATCCTTCTATCCAAGAACACAGTAGGAATTCTTATTTTTCAAGTCTCTTTCAAGTAATGTTGTCTAGTTTTTCTCAAGAGTTTTAAACATTTCTTAAGTTTATGTCTCGCTTTTGTTGTTGTTTTTCTTTCACTGTTTTTTCCAACAGCTATTGTTCTTGTATGTGAAAGCTATGCATTTCTGTATACTAATTTTATATCCTGCTACTTTACTAAATTTTCTTACAGTTTGTAGTGGTTTTCCATTGATTATTTTGGCTTTTTTAAATCACTCCCTTTCTGATTCTTGATTGCTTTATCTTGTCTACTTGCATTGGCTAAGTTCTTCAATACAGTCTTGAAGTATAAGGACAGATAAAGCATTCTGGTCTTGTTTTAGTGTTGCTTTATGTTGGCTTTTTGCTGAGGCATATATATTTATCAGGTTAGAGACTATACATCAATTGTTATTTTACTGAGTATTCTTAACATAATTGGGTATTTGTTTTTGTCAGATGTCTTCTTGACATCTATGGAGTGATTGTTTAATTTTTCTCCTTAACTCTATTAATATAATGTTCCATATTAATGGAGTTTCTAATATTGAGTACCTTTGCATTCCTGAAATGAAACTCATTTTGTGATGATGTACTTTTTAATATGTTGTTGAATTCTATCCTGATATTTAAGATTTCTGTTGAATTCTATCCTGATATTTAAGATTTCTGCAACAGTATTTATAAATGCTATCGGTCCACAAAGTGTGTATGCTTTTAGTATTTGTTGGGTTTTAGTATCAATGTTATATTAACTTTATAGAAAGAATTTTGAAAGTTTGCATTTTTTTCTTTCTTTGTACTTTAGGCTACTTTAAGTAGTTCAGGGATTATCTGATATTTAAGTGTTTTACAGAATTCTGTAATGTGGATCCATCTGGGTATGGTAGCTTTTTTAAAGTTTTTTTTTTAAAAATTGTGGTAAGTTCTTTCATGACATTCCTCATCTCTTCTCTGGAGATTGGTCTATTTAGACTTTCTATCTCTACTGATTTCCTAGGAAATTGTCAATGTTGTCTAGGTGGTTACATCTATTTGATAAAGTTGTGTAAAACAGCCTTTCATGATATTTAAACAATTTCCTTTGGTTTGTCAATAATGTATTTTTGCATTTGCTCTTTTAAATATTTGTAC